CAGGACAATGCACAGGACTCAGTTTGGGTCACCCCCATGTCACAGGTGCCACCCCAACCCCCCCCGGGGAAGCTTCCACCCCCTTCCACCGCCTCCAAACGCCCCTCCAGGTGTCTTTCGGGAATGTGCCTCGGGAAGGGGTTGGATCCCTGGCTGCGGAGGGCAGGGAGCCAGGCTGGAGGAGCCGTGTGTGCGTGCGGGAGTGCATGTCCACACTCGTGGGCGTGCGCTCGCGTGTGCCAGCCCCGCTGCCACGGGAGATCCTTCCAGCTGCCGGGAAATCCTGACCTGGATACGGGATCCGGCCGTAGGTGACGATCTCGGTGAGCAGGATGCCGAAGGACCACACGTCCGACTTGATGGTGAACGTCCCGTAATTAATGGCCTCCGGCGCCGTCCACTTGATGGGGAATTTAGCCCCTGGAAAAAACAGCGGGAGGGGAGGGAATGAAGCGTCCTGGAAGAGCTGGGATCACGCCTCTTTGTTTAATCTGCTGTGAAACCCCGGGTCAGGCTCGGTCCCTGCCGATGACCTGGGTTTGGTGGCATCCAGCCCCTCCTGTCCCCCGCTGCCCGGCGGTGGGCTGGCACCCCTGTCCCTGCAGTAGCCACCAAGAGCAGGGTCGGGTGGGCAAGCAGGGTCCTGCAGCCCCCCCAGCTGAGGGGAGAGAGGTGGAGGAGGAAAAAGTGTCCCTGCACCCCCCTCCCTGCTCCCCTCTTCCGCAGCTCCTGTCACTGCACCCCCCTCCTGCTCCCGGGGCGCGGTGGGGACCCCCCCAGAGGACCGGGGTGGGCGGGGGTCCCTCCTGCCGCGTCCCCGAGCTCTGTGCACCCCCGGGGCAGGGGGAACGGGAGGGTCCCACCCTCTCGAGCCGTGTACTCGTTGTCCTCGATGAGCCGGGCCAGCCCGAAATCGGCGATTTTGCAGCACAGCGCCTCCGAGACGAGGATGTTGGCGGCTCTCAGGTCACGGTGGATGTAGTTCTTGGCCTCGATGAAGGCCATGCCTTCGGAGATCTGTCATTTGGAGAGGGGGGGTTGCAATGAACAGCCCCGGCTACGTCCCCGCAGAGCCCTCCCAGCCCCAGCCCCTTGTCCCTGCCCCCCTCACCTGTGCAGCCATGTCCAGGAGCTTGTTGATGCCGAGCTTGACTCCTTCTGAGGTTTTGAGGAAGTCCACGAGGCTGCCTGCAGGGAGGGCAGCAGGTCTGAGCACCAAAACACACACTGCCCCCCTCCCCAGCACCTCGGGGTCATGTGGTGGTGGTGGAGGGGTCACCAGGGCACTGTCACCCACTGCAACCCAAAATGTGGGGCTGGGAAGCTCACAGTGCCCCAGGAAGGTGGGCAGGGGAGGGTGGGCAGGAGAACACCCTTCAATGTCCTTCTGCCCTCCGTTATCCCCGAGACAACGCAAAGGCAGAGCATGGCAGGGATGCCAAAGTGACACATAAACCAGCACAAACAGCTGGATGGGACAGCCAGGAGCTGAAAGACTGGACTTTTGGAAGTGGCCAGGGAAGAGGTGGAGTCCCCACCCCTGGAGGTGTCCAAGGAACGACTGGACGTGGCGCTCTGGGCTGGGCATCGGGGAAAAGGCCGGACTCGACCTTGGAGGAGTTTTCCAGCCTAAATGACCCTCTCCACAGCTCCCCCAGCCACCCCCACGCGGGGTGGGCAGCGCCTGGGGGGGGGTCTCACCCTTGTAGGGGTCTCACCCTTCTCCATGTACTCGGTGATGATGTAGATGGGCTCCTTGGTGACCACGGCGTAGAGCCGCACCAGCCGCGGGTGCTGCAGGTTCTTCATGAGGTTGGCCTCGGCCAGGAAGGCGCTGGGGGACATGCTGCCCGCCTTCAGGCTCTTCACAGCCACCTTGGTGTGCCCGTTGTAGAAGCCTGTGGAGAGCAGGGAAGAGCGGGATGGGGAGAGGGACCCCCCCGGGGACGGGTGGCACCGGCAGTGCCCCAGCCAAGCAGGCAGCGTGGGGGCTGCTCTGTGGGTCTGGAGCATCCCAAGCCAAGACTCCACGAGGGAGAGATGCTGGAGGTTGCAAAGGTCAGTGGAAGGCTGTAAAGTTTGGCTTGAAGAGGGACTCCCACACCCTGGACTGTCACGACGTGGCCGGAGGATTTTTGTGGTGGTCACAGCCCTGCCCTGGGCTAAAATCTGTGATCACACCTTAACCCACCAGGCAGATACTTTAACGTGTGGCTTTTAGTGACCACAAGGACAGGAGGTCACTGGGTTTTGAGCAGGAGGGGGAGCTGGGGGGGGGCAGGCAGTGGTGCCAAAGCCTGACTCTGGTTGGGAACCAGGAGGGGACTTTGTGGGACAGGCAGCACCCGTGGGAGTGAAGGCAGAGACCCCTCTTCAGTGGGGGAGAGGAGCAGGGCAGCCCCAGTGCCTTCCCCACTGTGGCACTCAGCAGCAGGAGGTGCTTTTGTGGCTGGATCACCACACTCTCAAGGCCCCCACTGGTCCCAGAATTCCAGCCAGAGCCACAGACACAGCAAGGGACACTTCCCAAGTGGGGACAAAGCCAGCAGCTGTTCCCATGGCGAGCAGAGCCCAGCTCCACGAGGACAGGACCCCTGTCATTCCATCCTTGCAGTGGAACAGGGATAAGGGTGACTGGGATGGGAAAGGAAGAAGCTTGGGCTGCTCTGGGTGATCCAGAAGGATTCTCCCTTCTCCCAGAACCCCTGTGGAAAGCCATGGGTCCCACACCCAGGGCTGTGCTGGCTGCTCCATGAGAGATCCCAGCTGGATCCCTCCCATCCCGAGGGTGCCGTGGGGCCCCAGTTTTGCCCTGACTCACTCACCCATCCAGACCTCTCCAAACTGCCCCGCTCCCAGCTTCTCCACCAGCTTCAGGGACTCCCTGGGCACCTCCCACTCGTCCTGCCACCACGGCTTCTGCGGCTTCTGCGTCCGGCAGGGTTTGCCCAGGCGGGTGCAGAGCCCGTCGGAGCTGCCTGGGGTGGGGGGAGGCACAGGGGGGGTCAGGGCAGGCAGAGGCACCAGGAGCGGGGCACAGGCCGATGGCTTGGCTGGGGCACGTGGAGCAGCGTGTCCTGCTCATCCCATCCCATCCCATCCCATCCCATCCCATTCCCATTCCGTCCTGTCCCATCCCATGTCATCCTATCCCAGTCCCATCCCATCCTATCCCATCCCATCCCATCCCATTCCCATTCTGTTTTGTCCCATTCTGTCCGATTCTGTGCCATTCCCATTTCATCCTGTCCTATCCAATCCTGTCCCATCCCGCCCTATTCCTATTCCATTCCCATCCCATCCAATCCTGTCCCATCACTCTCCCATCCTGCCCTATTCCTGTTCCATTCCCATCCCATCCAATCCTGTCCCATCCCACCCCATTCCTATTCCATTCCCATCCCATCCAATCCTATCCCATCCTGCCCCATTCCTATTCCATTCCCATCCCATACTATCCCATTCCATCCTGTCCTGTCCCATCCCATCTGGTCTCATCCCACCCTGTTCCATTCCATCCTGTCCTGTCCAATCCCATCCAGTCCATCCCACCCTATTCCATTCCATCCTGTCCCATCCCATCCCATCTGGTCTCATCCCACCCTATCCCATTCCATCCTGTCCCATCTCACCCCATTCTTATCCCATCCCGGTTCCACCCCATCCCGCTCCATTCCCACCCCATTCCCACCCCATTCCCACCCCGTTCCCATCCCCCCCGGCCATCCCATACGTGTGTAGTGCTGCACCAGCTCCCTGAGGCTGCCGAAGGGGACGCGGGGGGAGATGTAGAAGCCGCCGTTGTCCATGTTCCGGATCTTGTAGTGCTTCACCGTCTCTCCCTGGGTCTCATCCAGGTCCCGCACGGACAGCGAGTACGAGCCTGGGGACACGGGCACCGTGTGGGACCCCCCACGCCCCTCCCAGTGCTTCCCAGGGCCTCTCCCAGGGCGGGAAGGTACCTTTGGAGGTCTCGCTCTCCCGGATGAGGAAGGAGCCGTGCGTGTTGCCCGACGCCAGGAGCTGCCGCTCGGCGTCCTTGCGGCTGATGTTCTTGAAGAACCACCTGGGGACACAGGGATGGGAGGGGGGGATCAGGCTGTGCCTTCACCCACCAGCACTTCTGGGGTGCTCCTGGCTCCGTCCCCCTCTGCCAGGGCACAGCTCCCGCTCCATCCCTACTCACGGCTCGGGCTCCAGGCTGTTCACCAAGGCCACGAAGTTGTAGGGGATCAATCCCTCCTGGCCGGTGGTGAGCGACTGTGCCTTCCACCACTCCCCATTCCTGCAAGGACACGGTGAGGTGAGACCCCCCCCATACAGCTGCCAGGACCCTGCACAGCCCCCCCTGCCAGCACAGGAGCCGCGGGGCCGTGCCAGGGTCGGTGCTGGGACGTGGTTGGCGCTCGCTCACTCCTCCAGGACACGGAGCTTCTCTCCCTTCCGCAGCCGCAGGTCCCCGTCGTGCTTGGGCTCGTAGTTGTACAGGGCCACCACCAGCTTGTCTGGGGGGACAAGGGGAGGGACAGGGTGGCAGTGGCCAGCTTGGGGGTGTCCCAGCCACCCCCCTGCCACGGCCAGACCTCACCTTGCATGGGGGAGCACGGCGGGGACGTGGACTCGTAGGACACCAGAGGGTCTTGCACCTCGGAGCCGTTGCGGATCAGCCTCTGCCAGGGGTTGAGGAGCCCCGTGAGCCCTCGCCCGCCAGGGTTTGGCCACCCCATGGCCACCTCTGGAGGCATTTGGCCACCGCGTTGGGGGTCTCTCACCCCCTCCTCACCTGGCTCTTGCTGTTGGGGTCAATGGGGTAATTGCAGTGCTCACAGATGTCGATGTTCTCAATCCAGTCATCGTCGTAGTCTGAGCTGCAGCAGCAGCCCATGGTGCCTGGGGGGGCAGAGGTGGTGAGGGGAAGCCTTCACACCCCCAGGCTCCCCTCTCCTCCCGTTCCAGGACACCCCTATCCCCACATCCATCCATCTGGCTTCCCACAGGGCATGGCCCACCCTGCACACTCCTCAGCTGAACTGGGGACATCCCCTGGCTCCCTGTCACCAGCCCTTATTTCCTCCTAATTTGTTCTGGCCTCGTTAATTAAAAATCACTGAAGGCAATTAGTCCCCCAGTGTGAGGCTCCCCTTTCCCACCAGCTCCTTCCCACCCTCCATCCTTCCCTTGGGCTGATCCCTCTGTTCTTCAGCCAGATAACAATCTGATCATCAATACCCCATTAATAATTAATACACTCGTGCATGGCCCTTGTGTTTGATGAGGTTTGGCTGGACCTGGCACCCCCCAAAAGCAGCTCCTGGGGTCAGAGGTGGATGTGGGCGCTCCCCACCCACCCTGTGCCGCCTCTGATTTCCATCTCTCCCACGAGCTCTCAGCCTCTCCCCCACACTCACCCCTATTTCTCCTGCATCAGGGATGTCCTTAAACCCCCACCCCTGCTCTGGGGCCCCTCATCCTGTGTAGCTCACCCCGAAACATCCAGGAAGATGTTCCACCTCAACCTCGAGGACCGGCCCTGGTGCCACGGAGCCGGCGCGGGGCTGCCCCCAGTGTCCCCGGGACCCTGGTGTGGGCAGGGATGTCATGAGTGTCACAAGGGCTCTGCAAACCACCCGGGCACCTCTGACCTTCCCAAAAATGCTGATGATGGCACAAAACCCCCGTGGTTTTGGGAGCCCCACAGTGCATCGTGTGGGAACGGCGGCCCACGGCCCCGGAAAAAGCTCTTCCGCAGAATCCCCCACGCCCACACGGCCGGGATTTGTCTCCACCAAGACCTGGCCTCCAAACCCTGCTCTCCAGGCTCAGCTCTGGGGGCTCTCTGGGGGCCCCGGCGTGGTTTCCACGGGCTCTGGGAGCCCCGAGTCACCACGAGCCAGCCCGGGGTGTGTCTGTCCCACCACCCCAAAACCGGTGGCCGCTGCGCCGGCGCTGAGTGGGAGCTCTGATCTGGCAGTGAGTGGCACGACTGGGAGGGTCCCCATCCTCTCCTGGTGCCCTGCTGAGCCCTGGGAGATGCTTTTCTGGGAGACAGACTGGCTGCTGGCACTGCTGGCACCGCTTTGGCCTTGGTTTCCGCCATTGCCATAAATCCATCCCTTTCCGTGCTGGGGGCTTCATTTGAGTGGGCACATGGGGAAGAGGCTTGCAGGGGGTCCCCAGGGAGGGTGCAGGGTCCCCGGGGTGCTGCCAACCCCCTGTGCCACCAGCCTCAGCCAGAGGACACTGCCAGTCAGAGTCCCCCCAGCCTGCACTGCCAGGGCTGGTTTTCCAGACCAGGAGCCCCCTCCCTCGGGTCCAGGGCCAGCAGGGACACAGGGACCATCCCCACGGTGCCACCTCGGGGAGCCCACCACCAAGGGGAGCGGGTGACTGGCAGTTTTGGTGAGGACAACACAGATTAGTGACCCCCTCTTCCCCCCATGCCACACAACACTGCTGAAAACCACCCCGGTGCCTTCTGGTGACCCCATCTGGGGACTCACTTTGGCACCCAAAAAGGGGCTCCTGCTGCAGGCAGGAGGAGCAGGCAGGGCCACAGCGATGCCCAGCAGCAGCAAAGCCCACCTCCACCCCCCCAGCACCACCCTGACCCCGCAGAGGAGAAGCCCCCGACCCCCCAGAGCTCCCCACAGCCCTTCAGGCACCTTTACCAAAGGCGAGCGGTGCCAGGAGGTGTTTTTTCCTCCCTGCACGGAGCCGGGGTGGGGAGGGAGGTGCTGCTACTCTGCCTTTTTTCTTACAGCCCCAAGCCACAGCGTAATTTCCACCGAGCAGCCGTTTCACCTGGGCCACGCCGGGGGGGAAAAAGGGGCGTTTGAAGTCGGCTTTTGGTGACTGCATCTGTGCAAACCGAATTTCTGCTGCGAAGGCGCCTGGGAGGGACGTGTAGGCGCCCCTGCCCCGTGCTCAGTGTGTCCCCCAGGAGGTATCTGCGTGTCCTTCTCTGTTCCTGTCCCTGTTTTGGCCCTGGAGTGTGTTTGGAGCCCCCCATCTCCCTGCCCTGAGCCGGCCTTTCTGCTCCGGCCAGGTTGGGTTGGTTTGTTCATGGGTGTGGGCGGGCTGAAGGCCGGGCTGACCCCATCCCTGATGCTCTTCAAGGTTCACCAGAGTGTCCTCCAGCCAGCTGTGACTCACTGGGTGACCAGCCCTGCGCTGGCACAGCCTCACAGCAACACAAAGGATGCCAGCCCCAAAGCTGCTGCTGCAGCAGGAGGGTCTTTGCACCGGGGCAGCACCAAAAATGGGTTTGTCTCAACGTCTGAACTCCCAAACTGGGAAGCAAACCCCCAAACTGGGAAGCAAACCCCAGCACCCCAGCACTGAGCTGCTACCTGCCCCTCCACCGCTCTCACCCACAGCCCTGGGGACAAAACTCTCACTTTGCCCAGGAAAGGGGGGCCTTGGGAAGAGCCCTGTGAGGGGGCCGGTGCTCCCACCCCGGGCAGGACCCCTGGGCAGGCAGAGAATGTTGGGACAGCGAGTTTCACCCCAACTGGGGGGGCACAGAGGAGTGAGGGGCACAGGCTGAATCCCCCCATCCCTCACCCGGGCGCTCACATCCCCCCACCACTCACTGCAAGCCCAAATCTCCATTTCCACCCCTCCGAGGGGCACTCGGGGAGCACAGCAGACACTCCACTGACCCAGTGGTCCCCATCTCCCATCTCTGCACGGCGCAGACCCTCCACCCCCAGCTCTTACCTGTTGGCAGGAGGTGATGCCCGGCCCTTCTCAGACCCCCATTCCCTGGCGGAGCTCCCGTCCCCTCCTCACGTCCTGCCCATCCCGCCGGGGACCCTGCGGGGCGCGGCGCGGAGCCCCCCGAGGTGCGGGCCGTGCTCCCCGAGGGCGCTCTCGCTCCTGCTCCTGCTCCTGCTCCCGCCTGCCCCGGTCGATTTCCTGCCTCATGAGCAAAACTCTCGCAGCAGCTCGTTCGCAGCTCGTGCCCGACCGCAAGAGCGAGCGACAAACCCCGAGGGCTTCCTGCCATCCCCGCCGCCGCGAGGGTCCCAGCGCGGGCTGTCCCCTCGCCCGGGGCGTGCTGAGACCCTCAGTGGTGACTGTGGGGTCCCCACGGGGCGGGAGAAGGGTCAGGGACAGGCAGGGGGTTGTCACCTGCTGCCCGACCCCCCCCAGTCACCTCTCCAGGGCTCAGGTTGGCAGTGCCCTGTACCAGCTGCCCCTGACCCCACCAGACCCTACACGCGTTGTAGGACTCACCCTGCACCTCAAAACCCCCTTTTTTGGCCACCACCGCTGTGTCACCACAGACTTTGGCACCCGGACAGCCACGGGGGCAGGGGCTGAAGCCAGGGGGACACCCTGTGCCCCTGCCAGGCTGCCAGCCCTGTGTTTTGAAGACAGCTCAGAGCAGAGCAACCACAACACCATTGTCTTGGCTTCTGAGATCAAACACGAAGCCGCAGGTACCAGCTCGGTGAGGCACAGGAAGCCCAGCTGTGTCGGGAGGGGAGGGGGGGTTGTGGCAGCCTGGGGGGCACATCAGGCTCTCCCCGTGGCCTGGGAAGGAGAAGCAGCCCCCAAAATGATCCCTGGGTCATCCCACAGCTTCCCTGGGTTGTCCCTGGCACTGCTTGCTCACGGTGCTCTGCGGAAGTCACATCCCCAAAGTGGCAGTTTGTGCTGTCACCTCCCTCCCACCCTCCCCGGTCCCCACAGCAAAAATCTTGGAGCCACATCTACGAGTCCAGGGAGGTGCCTGGGTACATGAAAATACAGAAAAAAACATCACCCTACCCCTCACCTTCACCTCCTTTTATTCCGCCTCAAAGGGCTGCTCCCAACATTTTCCGCCCTGCTTGACCCCACTGTCCTTAGGGACACAGAACGCCCTGTGCCCCATGGGGGTGGTGGCATTTCCCATGGCACTGCCCCTGGAGCAGGGCTGGCAGCACCACAGCTCTGAGTCCCGAGGGATTTGGGAAGTGATCCTCAAGTCCTGCCAGGTCCAGATGCACCCGTGGGTGCCCGCGGGGCTCCCACCCGGCCCCCCGTGGGGGGATCAGCAGAGGGAGAAGCGCCGGGAGTTGATGTTCATGCGGGTGACCCCGATGTGCTTGAGGGGCGTGGAGAGCAGGAAGGCGGCCTTGGGGGGGATGTTGCAGAGCAGATCCGAGTCTTCCTCGCAGCCCTCGAGGCCGAAGGTGGCGTCGTCCAGCATCTCCTTGTGCTGGTGACAGGCCTGCTCCACCTTGAGCCGGTGCAGCCGCGCCCGCAGGCGCATCAGCTGCTGGGCCAGGCGCTGGTCCACAGCCTGCATCTCCCTCTGGAGGGGAGACTGGAGTCAGGATGGAGCGGGATCACCCCCCGGATCAGCTGCAGGGGTGATGGGGCAGCAGGGATGGGGCTTGACCAGGGAACAAACCCACCCTGGGACAGCACAGAGCCCACGCACGCAGTCCTGAGGTGGGCACAGTGTCTGATGCCCGTGGGCTTTTTACCCTGTTGCTGCCTCAGGGACAGGCTACTGGGCGCCCCCAAACACCCTGTGCCCCATGGGGGTGGTGGCATTTCGCATGGTACTGCCTCTTGGAGCAGGGCTGGCAGCACCACGGCTCAGCTCCGGCTGCCCTGAGTCCTGAGGGATTTTGGGTGCCACCCTCTGGAAGTCACCACGTGCCACATCAAGAGTCCACAGCAGCAGTGCCACCAGCAGAGCGGGGGGGGGTGACAAGTGCAGACCCCAACAGCGTGGTGAGGGGACAGGGGCAGAGCTGTGGCACTGCAGAGCCACGTGTGTCTTCCAAAAATCCACGTGTGCCTTGCAAAAATCCTTGTGCACCCCCCGAGCCGGGCAAAGGAGCAAAGCCCCCGCTGACCCTGCCACGTTCCCTCACTGCTGCATGAGGTCGGGCACGGGGCAGCCCTGTGGTCCCATCTCACCCCTCATCCCACTGCCAGCTACTCACCAGCTCCGTCCTCAGCCACTCCAGAGCCGCCTCCATGGTGGCAAAGCCACAGACGCCACCACCCAGCTGGTCCTCGGGGTGCCCAGGGCCCTGCTCAACCCCCCGGGCCCCCCCCGAGGTGCCCCAGCGCTGCCCCCTCACCCGGGCCTCCCACTCCAGGTACGAGGGTCTCCGGGTCTGCAGCTTCAGCTTGGCCGTCAGAGCCTTCACACTGTCCAGGTTCTCCTCCTCCCAGGTGGGCTCCTCCTCACCCAGCTCCTTGAACTTCAGCTGGCTGAGGGCCATGGTGGGACCCCCCGCAGCCCCCCGAGCCCCTCGGGTGACCTCTGCCCACTCAACAACCCACCCACCGTGGAAATGAAGCCTCTACCCTGGCCACGACCACCCAACCACCCACTCCCTCACTCCCCCAGCTGTGCCCGATTCCCAGCTATTTATCCATCCCCCGAGGACAATTCCGATGGGCAGGAATTTCCTTATCCAGAGGAGTGCAAAGGAGGAGGGTTTTTGGGTTTATTCGAGGTTGTCGTGGGTTTTTTGTTTTGTTTTTTTTCCTTTTCGTTTTTAGCATCATTGTCTCCGGCTGGGAGGAGACTCCCCGTTCCCGGACGAAGCCTTCACCGGGCACGGAGGAGCGGGAATGATTTATCCCCGGGCGCAGCCGCCCCCCCCCCCCCCCCCCCGGGGGGGGGGGGGCCAAAAAAAACCCAAAGGAAGAAAAAAAAACCCGGGGGGGGTGGGGGAGGCACAAGGGGCAGCCGGGGTCCCGCACCCGGACGGGACGTTAAGGTGGAACCGCGTTGGGATCTGCCCTCTCCCCCTTCCTCCCTGCCCCGGGGGGCTCCAGGGGCAGCAGCGGTGGGGCCCGGGTCTTACCTGTGTCCCACGGGTCTCACCTGCCCCTCGGACACCCGCCCCCGACCCTCCGGCGCCCCCGGAGTGCCCCCCAAATTCCACGCGTGCCTCGCCAGCGCTGCGAGCGAGCCCCCGCCTCTCCTTCGCGTGTCCCTCCCGCGGCCCCGCGCGTGTCCCCTCGCTCCCGCACCCCACGCGGCGACACCCCCGCCCCCCAGCCCACCCCGGGAGCCCCCCCAACGCCGGGGAGCGCCCCGTCCCTCCGGACCGGGCCACCTTAAACCCGACATCCGCCGCCCCGGCCGGGCTGTGCGGGGCATCGCCGCCCCCCCCCCGCTTGCGCCCCGAGCTCCTCCGCTTGTGTCTGTCGGCACTCTGGGGTCCCCCGCTTGCACCCCGGGGTCCCTGGTGCCACCCCACAGTCTCCTATTGCACCCTGAGATTCTCCCTTGCACCCCACGGTCCCTGCTTGCACCCCACGGTCCCCTGCTTATGCCCAGGAGCTCCCCGTGGGCATTCCGAGGTCCTCTGCCTGCACCCCACTGTCCTCCCACTTGCACCCCAAGGTCTCTGCTTGCCACCCGAGGTCCCCCCCTGCCCGCTGAGGTCCCCACCTGCCCCCCCAGCCCGAGCAGGTAAGCAAAGGGGTGGCAGGGGCACTGCCAGGTGCCTACCCTCCTCTTCCTCCTCACCCAGGGGCCTTGGCAGCAGCTCCTGCCCCATCCCCAGGCCTGGGGGGGGGGGACTGTGGGCACAGGGGCCCTGGCAGAGCCCACGGGGCCCTGGGAGCCGGGTCGGGGGGGGGCTGGTGACGGGGTGGTAGGGAAGGACCTGGAGCTGCTCCCTGCGTTCCCATTTTCGCCAAAAATCGCCTCCCTGCAGCGCAGCCTGCACGGGATACCCGGCTTGGGGTGGGAGCCCGGGGTCAGCTCAACCCCCCCGCCTCGTGCCTCAGTTTCCCCGGGGAGGAAACGTCCCCCCGGCTGCGTTTCGCAGCTCCGTCCGCTGAAGGTGACAGCGCAAACACCCAGAGCGGGTGAGGCCGTGACGCAGAGGGAAGAAGGGGTTTCCAGCCGGGCCGTGCGGCCGCAGGATTTCCCCTTTCTCCCTCCCCAGTCCCCGGCGCCGGGCAGAGCCGGCCATGGAGTTCTCGGAGCTGATCAAGACGGCGACGGTGGAGAACGTGCTGCTGTCGTGCGCGGGGCTGCCGGCGGTGAGGGGCACCCTGTGCATCACCAGCCACCACCTGCTCCTCTCCTCCTGCCCCGGCGGGGACGTGGAGCTCTGGCTGCTCATCCGCAACGTGGACGCCGTGGAGAAGAGGTGCGTGTGCCGGTCCCCGCCCCGCGGCTGCCCCGCGCTCCCTCCCCGGCCCTGTCACCCCTTCCTCCCGAGCTGGAGCGTTCCCGAGCAGAGCACGGCCACCCCTGGGTGCTGCCCGCCGAGCCTTCTCCTTCCTCTTCCTCACGGCCCAGCACGGCAGCACCGGGCGCTGACCTCCTCTTCTCCTCAGAGTGCAGAATTTAGGCTGGTACCAACCCCCCCGGACTAACGGCTCCGCCCGGGACACCAGGTTTGGCTTTTAACGCTCCCTTGGCTCTGCCAACCGCCGCGGCGCCCGCCGTGCCCCGTCCAGGGCAGACAGACGGTGGAAATCCCGGCTCCGGGGGCAGACGAGAGCCAGAGATTTGGCAACCGCACCAGCACAGCCCTCGGGAGGGGAGAGGGCAGCTCGGCGCTGTCCGTGTGTCCGTCTGTGCGCGCACGGACCCCCCGGCCAGCCCTGACCCCCTTCCTGCCTCCCCCAGGCTCGCCGGCTCCTCCGGCACCATCACGCTGCGGTGCAAAGACCTGAAGGTGCTGCAGCTGGAGATCCCGGGCATGGAGGAGTGTCTCAACATCGCCAGCTCCATCGAGGTGAGCCCCGGGCAGCAAAGGGTTGCCAGGGGAAAGCGGCCCCGCCGTGTTTGCTCTGCGTCTCTGTCGTTCACTGGGTAAATAAGCACTCAGCTCAAGCAGCGCTGGCACAGGGTGCCCCGTGGGGCCGCTGGTGCTGCCCAGCCCTCGCCTCGTGCTGGGATGCGGCCAGGAGCAGGGAACAGGGTTTGCAGAGCCCTGGGGACATTCCCAGCCACATTCCCTGTGACCAGCGCCACCTTTGCTCCCGCTGCTCCAGGCCCTCTCCTCGGTGGACTCCGTGATGATGATGTACCCGTTCTTCTACAGACCCCCGAGCCTGAAGCTCGAGGAAGGGTGGCACCAGTTCCCCCTCGAGCAGTACTTCCAGCAGATCTCCTCGCAGGTGAGGCTGGAAGGAGACCTGAGTCCCCCCACTCACACCGGGCTGGGTGCCAGGGCTCCCCCTGACCCCGTGTCTGCCCCAGACGAGCCAGTGGCGGCTGAGCACCGTGAACCAGGACTTCAGCACCTGCCCCACGTACCCTCCCGCCGTGATTGTGCCGGCGGCCGTGGGCGACGAGGCCCTGAGAAAGGCTGCCCGGTTCCGGCAGGGTGGGAGGTTCCCCATCCTCAGCTACTTCCACCCCAAAAACCGCACCGTGAGTCCGCCCCACCCCATCATCCCCTCTCCCACCACCACCAGGGAAAGGTGGCTGGAAGCCTCCCCACACCGTGGGGTCCCCCAGTGCCCCCCTTTTCTCACCCTGCAGGTGATGCTCCGCAGCAGCCAACCCCTGACGGGACCCAACCGCAGGCGGTGCCGCGAGGACGAGATGCTGCTGGGGATGATCCTGGACGAGGGGGAGAGGGGCTTCATCATCGACACACGCTCGGCCCAGGCAGCAAAGCAGGCTCGGATGACCGGGGGAGGCACAGAGCCCAAATCCTCCTACCCACAGTGGAGGAGGCTGCACCGGCCCCTGGAGAGGTGAGGGCTGTGCTGATCATGGGTGATCGCACTGCCTGGCATGACGTGGGGGCTCCACCCCCACAAAAGAGTCACCAAGCCCCCAGCACCTCTCTCCCCGCTCCCAGGGGCCGCCCGCTGCAGGAGAGCTTCGCCAAGCTGGTGGAAGCCTGCAGTGACCCCTCCCTGAGCATGGACCGCTGGCTGGGCCGGCTGGAGAGCAGCCGCTGGCTCAGCCACGTCAAGGCAGCCCTGAGCACGGCCTGCCTGGCTGCCCAGTGCATGGACAGGTAAGGGGGCTGCACCCCAAAGCCCCCCCCTTCCCCCAACTCCCAGCGTGGCACAAAATCCGGGCACCATCCCGGGTTGATCCCGACAGGGAGGAGGCCAAGGTGCTGGTGCACGGGGCGGAGGGGACGGACACGACGCTGCTGGTGACAGCGCTGGCCCAGGTGATCCTGGACCCGTCCTGCCGCACCCTGGCGGGATTCCAGGGGCTGCTGGAGCGGGAGTGGATCCAGGTGAGAGCGGCAGCTCCGAGGGGGATGGGGATCCCAGCCTGGCTGGGCACCCTCAGCCCCATATCCCCCCCCCCTCGGGGTCCCACAGGCCGGACACCCCTTCCACCTCCGCTGCGCCCACTCCGCCTATTCCCACGCCCGGCTGAAGCAGGAGGCACCGCTTTTCCTGCTCTTCCTCGACTGTGTGTGGCAGCTGAGCCGCCAGTTCCCCTTCTCCCTGGAATTTGGGGAGCACCTCCTCCTCTCCCTCTTCGACAACGCCTACGCCTCGGCCTACGGCACCTTCCTCTGCAACAACGAGAAGGAGAGGTGAGAGGGGTGGGGACAGTGCTGTCCCCAAGAAGCAACTCCAACAAATCCCCTCCTGGTCACGGTTTGGGTCACGGCAAACCCCGTGAGCCCTGGCAGGGACTGAAACGCATCCCCCGTGTCCCACAGGAGCCTGTGCAAGGTGAAGGAGAGCACACACTCGCTCTGGGCCTGGTTGAACCAGCCCGAGGAGCAGCAGAAGCTCCTGAACCCTCTCTACTCGCACAACGCCCTGGTGATCTGGCCCTCTGTGGAGCCCCAGAGCATCCAGCTCTGGCAGGGTGAGTGGGATCCTCCCAACATCCATCCTCAGCCCCGAGCTGGGCTGGCTGAGGGGAAGCTGCTCTGCCTTTCCCTCGCCGACAGGGCTGAAATAACACCCAGCCCCTTCTCTCCCAGGTTTATTCCTCCGTTGGATCCGTCCATCCCAGCACCTGGATGAGGCCTGGGCAGAGATCCGGCGGTTGGTTGAGGAAAACAACGCCCCTGCCAAGGAGAGCACAGGGAACAGGCTGAGCCAGTCCCTCTCTGACCCCACTGCTGGGATGGAGAACAGGACATGAAGGGCAGCACGGGCAGTTCAGTCCCATGGGATGCCAGGACAAGGCAACCCTGGAGCTTCCTGTGGGAAGTGCTGTGCTGGACACAGACCCCACGGACAGCTCTGGGAGGGAGGAACAGACCCCCTTTCCCAGCCTTTGGGCTGCCCAGACTGAGCTTGGTTTCAGTAAAGCCTCTCTCCCAGCCCACACCTGCATTCCGCTCTTCCATAGGGGCAGGAGGAAGATGCTCCTTCCCAGTGGGATTTCGGCAGCACTTGTGGATGGCTGTGGAGCAGGACATCAACCTGCCTGCCAGCCAGGCACAGCAAAAGCAGCAGCTCACACTAAACCAACACCCTCTCCACACAAGGCACAGAGGCTGCAGCCTCACTGTTGTATCAGGCACTCCAAGCTGGGAGAGGCCAGGCTGGGAATTCTGCCCTTGAACCCAGATTTGAGGCAGGAAAGAGAAACAAACCACCCCTCCCGACAGGCAGGGTGAGAGAGGGGGGAAGGATGAGGAGCACAAGCTCCTAGAGCAGGAAATAACTGTTCCATGAGGAAAGTTGGCCCAGGGTCAGCCCAGCAGATAAACAAAGCGGCCGGGCCGGGCGCGTGCGTGTCAGCTGGAAAACAATTCCTGGCTGCTGCACTTCCAGCCTCTTCACACTTCAGGGCTGGACCTGAGGCTCTGGGTCACTCCCTGGAAAAGAGTTAAGCCAGGATGGGCAGAGGTCCCGGGAGGAGCAGCACTGTCTGTCTGCCCATGGGTGTTGAGCGAGGCACTGGCAACAGAGCTGGGAAAACCAAGTCCTTGGGTTAACTGGGAAAAAAGAAACAACCAAAAAAACCCCCAAAGAGGTGCTCTTCCTTGTGTTTATAAAAGATTTCTATTTATTTCCTGATGATTTCTTCCCTCCCCTGATATATAAATATGCTCAGCAGGCAGGAAGCCCCCGGGGCAGGCAGGCAGCCAACCCAGCTGCCTTCCCACAAAAGCCATTCCTGCCCTTTGGAGCTGGCTGAGTTTCCACTTCCCCACCTTCACACAGCCCCCAAAATGCAGCAGGAGAACTTCAGGCCTTACAACAGCCTCGTGACAGAGCTGATGGACTGGGCAAGGGGTTGGAGGAGAAAAAGGAGGAGGAGAGGAGAGGGAAATCCTCCTTCAGGCTTCAAACTCAAACTCGAAGTACTGGGGATCGAAGTAGTGGATGCGGACGTAGCCATCCTCACCCCCACTGCTGTAACTGCAGGGAGGAAAGGGACAGTCAGGAATGCTGCAGGAGCAACCAGGGGCAAGTCTGGCCTCACAACCCCCTCCTGGAACTAACACAGGAGTCACAAGGCAAAGAAAGGATCAGTGAGGCAGCCAAAGTGTGGAACAGGGTGTTAGTGACCACCCCGGGCTGGCCTGAGGGGAGGCTGGAACGGGAGGATTAAGGTGCTGGTTCTGCTCCCAGCACAGGGATGCTGTAGGTCCAGACACATCCCAACTAAAAAGTGGGATTGGCTGGGCTGGGACACGCTGCAAGACCCCCACAGAGCCTCACCTCTTCCCGTCGGGGTGAAACGCGACGCTGTTGATGGGACCGAAGTGACCCTTCACTCTGCCAAACTCTTCCTCAAAAGCCAAGTGGAAGAACCTGGGAGAAGGAAGGAGATTTACACTGTCACAAGGTGTTGGGAGCCTGGAAGGGGCACAATCAGGGATTCCTCAAACAAGCTCTGCACGTTCAAGGACTCCTCCAGGAGCGGGGTGCTCCGGGAATAGCATTCCTGAGTTTTCAGGAGCGCTCCAGGGGAGGGAAAGGACCTGCCTGGCCTCAAATTTGCCAATCCTGGTGGAGGTTGTGGTCACATCCATGGCCTCCTGCCCACCACCGAGCACGACCTGCAAAGGAGAGAAGCCACCACCCTTCAGTGCTGCTTGTCCCACGCTCAGGGGCAGCTGGGGGAGGAGGGAGCAGAGCCTCTGGGGAATCCCAGAATCACCGAGGACACAAAGCCTCGTTCCCTGCGCCAGAGCCAGCAAAATTCCCCAGCCCCATGGCACAGTCCTGGTTTTCAGCTGGGCTGGGGACACTCATGCTGGTGACACAACTCAGGGGTCCCAGCAGGAGGGTGACACTGAAGGGAGCTCATCCTTACGTGGTCAAAGATGGGGGAGAGGGCGGCGGAGTTCACCGGCCGCTCCGTCCGGAACGTCTTCAGGTGCTCCAGGGATGTGCAGTCAAAGAGCTACGAGGCAAAAAGGCAGAGAGTCCATTAATTAACTCACACAAATCCAGCTGCTGGGCCTCACCTGGGCAGGTGCAGTCACTCCTGGACACTCAAATCCCAAAATGTACTTCCCCAGAATGCCCAAACACCTGCCTGAGGTAAACCTTAGAGGTGGCAAGCTGCCAATATATTCTGGAAAATGCCAAAAATACTCTGGAAATGCCAAAATAATTTCATTTTCAATGCCTGACTGATAATTTCAGGCGGTGGCATCTCTCCTTCCTCACCGAGCTTTCCCACTGAGCTTTGCTTTTCCACTTCCTCAAATCCCTGAGGAGGGAAAAAACCCCTGTGATAAGCTCTGAGGAGAAGTCCTGCCAGGAAATATCCACTGCTGATGTAAAACCTCACCTTGGCCGTGTTGTCCTTGGAGGCTGTGATGAACATGGTCATGTCCCTGGAGGTCTGGATGTCGTTGATCTGCTTGGTGTGCTCCTTGATGTTCGACAGCTGCTCCCCTGACTGAGGGGGAAGAGGCAGTTTCAAGGAGCTGGGAAGAGTCCTCCTCATTAAAAACCATTTAGGAGATCATGGAATAGCATCCTGGGATGGTGTGGGTTGGAAGGGAACTTAAAGATCATCTCACTCCACCTGAGCAGCGGGGCAGTTGGCACATCCACCTTGCTCAGGGGAGCCACAAATTTGAGCTACTCCTGCTGTTTGGAGCCCCAAAATCCTACAGTTTGCCCCTTAACCCCACAGGAACGCTGTGCCATCCTTCCCATCCCAGTCCCTGACCTTGGCACTGAACTGGTTGAGCTCCCCACTCTCGTGGCCCGCGATGATGAACTCCCCGAGCGGGCCCCACACGGCGCTGGTGATCTTGGAGTCGCTGCAGGGGATCTTCATGTAGGGCTCGTTGTTCTCTGAGGGAGGGGACAGACACACAGAGAGGTGGGACAGACACACAGAGAGGTGGGACAGCCCTCCACACCCTCCCCAGCCCCAGGGAGGGTCCCTCACCGATCTGGGCGGGGTCCCGCAGGTCGAAGAAGCTCACGAAGCACTGGTAGCCCATCTGCTTGTCCGTGGAGAACATGATGATGTTCCCCCCAAAGTCGAAGCCACACGTCCTCACAGCGGAGCTGGTCTTCACCAGGGCCAGCTGCTTCCCTGGGGGGGGCACAGGGACCTCAGCTCAGGGGGTTGGGGGGAGTTATGGGACCGGGGAAGGGGTGGCAGGGGCGGCAGGAGGATCAGGGGATCCCTGACTTGGGATCCGCAGAATCACTTGTGAGTCACAGACCACCGGATCTTGGGGGGCTTTTCCAAGCTTAATCATGGAATAAAAGAATGCTTTGGGTCGGAAGGGACATCATGGATCACCTTTTCCACCCTCTGCCTGAAGGGACACCTGATGCTATCCCAGGTTGCTCCAGCCTGGCCTTGGATACTTCCAGGGATGGGGCAGCCACAGCTTCTCTGGGAAATCCATTCCAGCCCCTCACCACCTCACAGGGAAGAACTCCTTCCCAATCTCCCACCCAAATCTCCCTTTTTCCAGCTTAAAGCCATTCCCCTTTGTCCTATCCCTCCATCCCTTGTCCCAGGTCCCTCTCCAGCTCCCTTGGAGCCCCTTCAGGCACTGGAAGGGTCTCCAAGGTCTCTTCCCCAGGCTGAACACCCCCAGTTCTCCATGGCAGAGCTGCCCCATCCCTGTGGATGCCCTGCAGATGCCAGGCAGGGATTTTGGGAAGGGCTTTACCTGTCTCACAGTCCCAGAGCCGGCAGCTGTTGTCGGCAGAGCCCGTGAGCACGTGCCGTGTGTCCCCTGGGTGTCACCAGTCAGGGAAGGACATGTACAAATTTTTAGATATGTACAAATTTTATAGATATATATGCGTAAAAATTCCATCTATATAAAAATACATATGGAAAATGTAACAGTTTAAGTGAAGGGATCAAGACCAGAATAAGAGGCAGGAACGACCCCAGAGGCAGAAATATGGAATATATATATTTAAAGATATATATGGACATATATAACTATAAATTCATATTAAAATGTATATATAAATATAAATGTGTGTATATATAAATGTATATAAAATACAATTATATTATATAAATAAATTCCATATATATAAAAATACACATGGAATATTTAAGAGTTTAAGGGAAGGTATCAAGGTCAGAGTAAGGGGCAGTAATGATCCCAGAGACAGAAATATGGAATATATATATTTATATAGATAAAAGAATATATTATATATATAAGGATAATTATATATATGGAATTTACATATATATATATGTATATATAAATTCCATATCTATATTCAATACATACATAAAAATATAAATAGAATATTCAAGAGCTGAAGTGCAGAGATCAAGGGAAAAGCAGCAGGAAGGACCCCAGGGGCAGTTTGATGGGATGAATCCCGGGCTAAAATATGGGATCAAACCGGCCTTTTTCGGGGGGGATTAAAAAGGATACAATCGGCATCCACACACCACACAGCCCCCGTGTGCCCGTTGTAGGTGCCCAGCCTCTCGCCGTTCACCGAATACCACACGTTGACGATCTGCGAGGCGGAAAAAACGCGCGGATTAATTAATAATAAAACTAACGAATTATGGCGGGGGTGGTAAGGGGGAGCACTCACGGGATCCTTGGCCACGGTGAACAGCAGGTCTCCCTCGCGGTTGTATTTGATCTGCGTGATGGAGCGCTCATGGCCTTGCAGCAGGATGGGCTTCTGTAATTATTAAGTTATTTAATTAATGAGTGAGGGGAGGTGGAGAAGGAAAGGGAGGGTGAGGCGGAGGGGCGAGCGCGTCCCCCGGTCCGAGGCTCCTGGGGCGCGGGGGAGCGGCCAAGCCGCCCCCCCGAGCCCCAGGAGCCCCGGACCGGGTGGCTTTGAGCCGCTGAATCATCGGGAGCGGCCACAAATCGCGATAATCGCGACCACCCCGCTCCT